GCCTCAGATGACATCTGAGCCAACGAAGACAACTGCATACGAACAAGGCCGACCCTCCAAGTACAATACTTTTGTCGCAAGCAGATGGGTGCAAAACAGTCGTTTCCTCATCGTTTACTCTGCCTATGTATTGAAACAATGCTCTACCGATGTGTTCCAAGTTGATTCTCATCAAAATGTAAACAGAATGAGAACCTCCCATTGCAAGCCGCAAGTATCTTGGAGAAACGAACTCGAGCAACGGATCAGTGATTTCACTCTTGAGATCTGGCGGCAACAAATGCCACACCTTTGCTGCGCGCACCGGAGGCCCGCCTTGCCACCTAGTCATCCACTCTGGCACCCTAACAAAAGTAAAAGCAGAATCTTCGTCGCAGATTGAGACACCCAATTTACCAGAAGGCACATAGCACCGTGACAGAGCTCCCCCGCCATCCATGCCCAAGTGCGCTCTGCTTGAAGGGTCGACCATCATGTAGTTGGCAGCGACTTGCATGATTAGCTTTCTCTGCTGTTCAGGGTTTTTCTTTGGAACGGCGGACACGCCAGCAATAGCTCTTATGTTGCGCATGTGGTCCCATTGCCAAAGGTGCTGCACATCATCCCGCTCCAGGTATTTGAGGTACTCCTGTTCAGAGCCCCCGATAAACCCGTAGTGAGATTCTAGCTCTTTGAACATGGACTCGGACTTGCCTTCTACATCAATGACATTGCTTTCATGCTCATAAAAACAAGCGTCTTCTGCTGGAAGGGCTGCAAGCATGTCAATGGCTCTAGTGTCCGGAGGTTCCACAAGCCTTGCTGCCTCAAGAGGCACCTGTTTTACTTTGCAGAAGTTCATATAACCAAGATCATCGACTGGCTGCTTCAAAAGGGATGCCACTGCTCGCGAAGACTGGACGCCTGTCAAGCCACAGCTCCGGCGTTCCCGCGCTATTGCAGATGCCTCACTGAGGAGGCGTTGCACAACGTGAGTCCTGGCAGCCGTAGCCTTCACTCGGCCAAATCTTGCTGCTTCAGGCGATGTCAGCTTGGTGTCAACTTCACCATAGTTCAGAGCGTTGATGGTATTGACGAGCCCGCACGCTACTCTCCACACCTGCAAACGATGCTTTTGTCGAGTGCGCAAACGAGCTGAGCGATGTCGCTTCCATTCCGGCCGCTCTGGAGTTGGCAATGGTAGGAGAGCAAAACCATCGAGTCTCCTTTTGAATTCCTCTGCCTCTGTCTCGGTCACGCAACAAGAGGCAGGATGTGTGACCTGCTCATGCACTGCGGTGACCCCCTCCCGCGGCAGGTCGGTCGCGGGAGAGGGCTTCTGAGGTCGTCACCCTTGAGTCTTGTGGGAGGTCTGCGCCCCCCCACGACCCTTGCCGCCTCCTTTGGAACCAGATCCACGTCCTCTGAACTTACCCGCATACTTGATGGCATGCTGCGAAGACGACTGCTGACTTCCATGTTCCTGCTTGGACATCCTATTTCCTCTCTCGGTCCTCTGCCATTCGAGCTTGGAGTGAGAGTTGGCGTCGTCCAGCAGCCATTTTGGTGCTATGTCAGCATTTGCTCCAGGTGCACGCACACCCAACATGCGGTTTGCGCCTGTGCGGTCCTTGGTGCGTCTGTAGTAGACGTATGCACCTAGCTTTCTCAACTGGATCTCTAAAGTGTCTGAGGTGCCAAGGCGATGCATGATGGCCGCCTCACTCTTGCAATCTGCTAGCTCAAAATCAATGATAGTGGCAGCCGTGAAAAGGTCTTGGTACCCAGATGACTGCTTCAACTCCAGCGTAGGGTGCTGGTCATTGACCCATTGCCGCACTGAGCTGCATCCTTCTGAACGAATGTTGCGATACAGCTCAGGCGCAGCGCGCTGCAAATCTGCTGGCAAACGGAGGTGCCACGCCATCTGTTCTGGGTTCCCCCCTGTTCCTACATCTGCCACACGTGCGAATGCTCCTCCACTACCATGAGTTGGCCCACCAAGAGTCTCAAGCTCTTGCAAAGACTTCTTCAGTTCCTCAGTGCGTGGTGGACTGAGAGTTCCGTCCCCTACATACCCGTGAGACTGAAGCACAGACTGTACTTCTGGCTCTAACTGATAGATGTCCTTTTCGTTCTTGACTGCCTGCCAAAACAACGCGCCCCAACTAGGCGTGGTGGCTGACAAAGCTGCTGCCTTAGTGACTGCATCCTTCAATCTGCATGCCTGGGTTTGCAACTTGGATGGTGGGCTAGAAAGGCTAAAAGGTGCATACACTGAGTCTCTAGAAATTGTATCGTTGACACCGGGTGAACCCAAAAAAGTGGAGACGGCATGTTTAGGCATTTGCTGCAAAGTCAAACCACTGTCTAAACAAATGGTCACACCATCGGCTCGATGCTCAACGACCTTTCCGCACTGCCCAGTGAGTGCTTCGTACGGCGCAACGTGCAACACACGAACTCTAGTACCTGGGATATATGGCTCTATCTCTACAGGCTGACTAACCCTACTCGGCTCCCCACTAGACAAACCTGGAGGCTCACCAACTGGCACTTGAGGGACGCCCGGTGGAGGCATCACTGCGGTAGCCGAAACAGGCTGCACTGCTGGATCTATAACCTCCAAATGAGGCATGTCCAGTTCGGTCCATTTGCCTTGGCGCCCTGGGGTAGTTCTCACGGGGGGGGCTAGGTGCACTAAGACCAAAGCATGGCAAGCTAGACCAACCCAGATACCACAGAGCAGAACCTAAACCAAGGAGAACTATGCCGAAAGAAGCTGCATACACGCGAAAGCGTCCGGATGGAATCCATGGGTCCATGGCCAATGCGATCAAGCCTAGGATCCAACACTTCCAGTGCAGTGTTCCTGAGCTAACCTGTCGAGTTGTTCCGGTCGGTGTGCCCATGGCCTCTGCCGGGCTCAGGCTGGACACTACCTCTGACCAAGCTTCAACGTCACTAGTAATCAAAGGAAATGCTTCAGCTGACTGCGTTCTGGAAACAGCTGATGTGTACAGGTTCCAAGCTAATTCAGATCGGACCTCAGCTGACAATTGCGGCAGGCTGGGCTCTCGTGCTATCCAAGAGAGAATTGGCATCAAACATCTGCCCAATCCGGCATGCTGCAAAGGAAAAGTCTCGGCTTTCCCATTCGTCCTGATTCGGTTCCTCGTTGTGAGGAGCACCTCCTCCAATCCTTCCAGGTCCTGAGTGGCCCCTCCGGCCTGAGCTACAGCAGAAATCGCGTCTGCCAGCGCTTGCTGCGAAAGCAAAGCCATGGGAAACAACCGCACCGGGATACCTAGCACCAGCTCATGGTGCCCGAGTAAAATCTTGACCCACAAAAAAACTAGAATGTTCGAATATGGTGAACAGCTTGCATTCAACGGA